AGAAGTTGTTATTAATCACAAGAAAATTGCTGTATTCTATCTATTTTTGGAACTTATCTGTTCACTATCTTTTTACCTAATCTGGCTTCAACACTTCATCTAAGTTCATGTTTCACAATAATCTCAAAAACCATTTGCAATGCATAAGTCTATATTGCAATCTGAACCGCCAGCTTTGGCAAATTGTCAGTAGAGGGCCAATCTTTTCTTAGATCCATATTTGTCAAATTACTTGAAATCGTGACTAGTTGGACTTCGTTTGATGGGAAGACTCAAACATATCTTAATTAAGTTTATATTTCGAATTAGAAATTTCATAATACTTTTCATTTAGATATTTGATTGTCCACGAATACGTTTTTCTGATTTACCAAGTAAACTTAATAAACTTATTCTTCCATCAGAACCTATTATTATCAATCATACACTTTGGTAAAATATTTTTTGTTTATAAATTTAAAAAATGAAATTTATCTATTCTCTGTCGTTTTGTAGTCTTGGTACTGATCCAAAAAAACATGCTTGTTATGATATTGATGTTGAAGTTGATGATCCAGTACGAGATTCTACACGGACATTTCTTACACCACAAAATACACATGAATTAGAAGAATTAGATGGAAAAGTAAAAGAATATCAATCAAAAAGAAAAATGTTTTATTTTATTTTATTTTATTTTATTTAAGATTCTTCAATATATTGATAGTATAAATCAATTAAAACAAAGTCGTGAATTTTATCTTTCATTTGCTGATGATCCTCAAGGTTTTATATGTAAATGGTTAGCATCACAATCTCGTGATCTTAAAATGATGACTGATTCATCTATTGGAAATAATGAAGAAGAACGAAGAGCTGATTATTATACTGAACAATGGTCATACGAAGCTGTTAGTCGATATTTCTATAATAAAGTTCAACAAAAACGTGCTGAATTAGAACAAGCACTTGGTATTCGTAATCCATAATTTTCAATGAAATAAAATAATCAATGTTTTGTTTCAATTGTTTATATGTATTTGTGTAGTTCAATGAAATATTATTAACAAAAAAAAACAAACATACAAATTCAACTTTTTTTTTTGTTTTGTCTTTCTATTTGTTATAGATGGAATTTTCTACTTATCATCAACCATATTCACATAAAACTCGTTTTAAACTTATTCATTCAACAACAACATTTATTAAAATACCAAAAATAAAAAGAAATTTATCATTAATTAATCGACCTACATCACAATTTAAACTTATTCGTAATGGAATTAAACAAGAATCAAAAGTTAATATTCCAAAACCAACAATTATTAGAGCAAAAAGTATTGATAAATCATCAACAACAATAGCAAAAAGTATAGAAAATAAATACAAATGGATTAGAACGAGTTTGAAAAAAACTGATAGTAACAGGTTAGAAAGAAAGTTTTTACAATGTTGAACAAAAGCAATTGCATTTCATAGTGCTATTATTCTTTATGATATTGAGCCTATATTTTGAGTACATATATGCGACAATAAACCTTAACTACAAGCACTAAGCCATTCGCTATTAGTTTGCATATACTGGAGTTATGATTCAAATATCATCTTATTTCCACCATTGTTTTGTTAGACATCGAATCGAAAATTTTCGGACTCGACCTGCTCCTGATCAATCTGACGGATTCTAGAAGGCATCCAAAATATCAGTTCAATATCGTAAAGAATAGTAGCACTTCATGAGAAGTAGATTTTTTTTGTCAAATAGTAAAATATATCATTTGAAATGAAATTTAGTTTTAAACTTGATCGTCGAAAGATCTTAACATCCAGTGTAATAAATGGACGTATAACAAAACGTAAACCTCGTGCGTCATTATCAAAATGTCTTGTACGTATTCGTGGTATTAAATTTCATACGCATCCAAATGGCAAATGTCTTCAACGTTTAAGTAATATTTTAATCTCATCGCAAAAGTTTCTTATTGTTTATTAATTTTTTTTTAAGCTTCGGATTCTGACAACAACAAAATTCTATCATCATCGATTCCCATAAAAAAAGTTGAACATCCAACTATAGCACGAGCCAAGTATTTGTTTTTGTTTTCATTACTTCTAAATTTTAATTAATTATATATATTTTTTTAATATTTAGTATTCTTCTACAACGAAGTATTCAAATAAGTAATGGACGTTATCGTTTAAGAAATGCAAAGAAAAAAATAACAACAATGAAAAAGAAAAAAAATTGTATTTATTTTAATCGATTTGGTAAATGCCATCGTGATGATAAATGTCCATTTATTCATGATCGTACACGAATTGCTGTTTGTACACAGTATGTTAATTAAATATTTTAATCAAATTTATCATTTTCTTTTGTTGTTTTTGTTCAAAGATTTTTAAATGGACGTTGTAAAAATTTTTCATGTCCTTATGCACATGAATTATCACCTGGCAAGGTACCAACATGTTCATATTTTATAAAAGGTGCTTGTGGTCAAGATAATTGTCCATATGCACATTCATACGTTGGACATGATGCTCAAATATGTGAAGATTTTGTTCAAGGATTTTGTGCAAAAGGAATTGAGGTGTGTATAAGGAAAATGTTTATTGTTGTTTTTGTTTTTATATATTTGAATTTCAAAAAACAATAACCCAGTGTTCAAAACAACATGTTCTACTATGTCCTCATTTTGAATCAACGGGTCAATGTCCTCGCGGTAAACAATGTCATTTAACTCATCGACGTAAACGAAATGAAAATAATATTTTGAAAATCAAATCAAATTCTTCTAAGTGGGATCTTTCTCTTACGGTTGGCATCTAAAATTGTTTTTTTCTTGTTCTTTCAATATTAGAACGGATCAACAACCAACTGTTCTTCCGAGTGTAATGCCAGCTTATATCCCATTGAATCAAGGTGCTTGCGAAAAAAAAAAGAAAAAATAAATAATTCGATTAAAATTTTTATTTCTTTAGAAAGTGGAAAAAAATCACCACAAACTGAACTGAAATTAAAACCTAGCTTTTTATCTTAGCATTCATACAAGTAAGTACTTATGTTGTTTCTTTTTCATTGCAATGGTATACAATAAACAAATGATGTCAAGAAAACAATATTGTCTTTCGGTTATACATTTATGTTGAATTTCATCGAGGACTTATTATTTTATTATAGATATTAGCTACATTCATGTTGTGATTCATTTTTCTTTCTTTTTTTTTTTTTTTGGTTTTGGTTTTGTTTTTCTTTGTCTATTAAAATAAATAAATCATTTCGGTTTTTTTTCTTGAATTACATGAAATCTGCTTACTTTTGATCAAGATTATGAGTAAATTCGAATGAACCAAAAATTTTTATCATCAAGTACTCAATAATTCAACAGTTCATTGAATAAAAAATCATCACCATATTGCATTTTCTTGATATGATAAAAGAAGAGAACTTTGCAAACAAGAAAATGATTAGGATCATATAAATAAAGCTGACATTTATCACAGGACAACTACTTAGAACCATCGAACTTTAACGAGAATGTATTAGGCTTTCAAACGAAAGATCGTCTACCTTCAATCATTCTTACATTAATCGCTTTCAGAATAACTTTGGTATCATATATCATCAATTTGATCATTATGATCTTGTATTAGAACATTACAACCGATTGTTCAAAATGAGACTAGCATAGTGTCACTTCCTTTTCATGGTATATGAAGACACAGACAAGGGTGTGGATTTGTGGTGTGGATACACATTTTGTTCCTCTTTTCACGCATATGGACACCCACACTCTTCTCCACTTCCAAAATGTAACTAACAGTGAAAAAAGTCTGACATTTTACATTAGAAGAAAGACTTTACGGCTGTTCTTATAAGATGACAGCCAGTTCAATGAAAGATTTTTTCTTTACCTGGGTTTTAGAGATAAGAACAAAAGAAAGCAGCCATGTTTGAAAAAGATTCTCACTCTTGTTTCTTAGTTAAAGGAAAAATGTAATAAAGAACGTGAATTACATATGTTGTTGATAAGAACCTTATTTTTTTACAACAAAAGAAAAGATAGATTTGTTAACACTCTTTTGACAGGACTTCGGAGAAAAAAAAGACTCTTGTAAGAGATGTAATGACTTCAAAACATAGTAAAGAACAAGACCAATATCAGCTGCAGCGTATTTCCGATGTGCAATTCGAATCTGGTAAACTATTTCTTCCAATTGAAGGCTATGAAAAGATGAAACTCGTCTCCTTACAAAAAGCCATTGTTCCTCTATACGGCATCGTACCTGACATTCACCATAAGGCCTATATTGCTCTGCAACGTTGTCAAGAACCAAAAGATGGTCTATCGTCAGATGAATCAGCTAGTATATTCTTGTACACGATGCGGTGGTCACCCAACTATGTCTACCATCTTCTAAATGAGACACTACGTACAGAACAACGTGAATTGCTTCGTCCATGGTTCCTCTTCCTAAAGTTCATCTTAACAGCTCTCTGGAAGTTGCCTTCTATCACTGGTGTCACTCTATTTCGTGGTGTAAAACTTGATCTAAGTCAACAATATACTAAAGGAAGAATGCAGCCGTGGTGGGAGTTTAGTTCGACTACAACATCGGTCGAGGTTCTACAATCACCGCAGTTTCTTGGAAAATCTGGTGTTCGTACATTGTTCACTATTGATTGCTGTTTATATAGTAAAAGCATCAGAAATCATTCGTACTATGCTCTTGAAAACGAACTATTACTTTTACCAGCTAGACAGTTCGAGGGGACGGGCATATTAGATTTAGGCAATGATCTTTATGTAATAACTTTGAAAGAGGTTCAGCCACCAATTTCTCTTCTGGAACCGCTTTTTATTTCAATAGAATCAGCTTGTACGAAGAAACGGACCACTAATCCAGCAGTAGAACAAGAACAGAAACCTAAGAGCTTATTGGTTCAGTTGAGACAACTCTTCATAAGCGCTCCAAATGATAACGAGATTAATGTCGAAACTAAAAAAGTCTATGATCTAATGGCTCAATGCAAAACAGCAACTAGATGGAATTTCAAACATCAGCAATTAATTGACGCTGATATGAAAATTCTTGCAAATGAGTTAAAAACAAATACAAATTGCAAAGAACTCATTCTTCAGCGTAATGAAATCACTTCAAAAGGTGCTCAATACTTAGCTGAAATGTTAAAAGTAAATTGTACGTTGCAATTAATTTGGCTTGGCTGGAATGAAATTGGGGATAAAGAAGTACGATCATTATGTGAAGGACTGCAAAACAACAAAAAATTGCTCTCCAGGAATTAGGTCTTGGTTGTAATAAAATTACAGACAAAAGCGTCAATATATTCTTAGAGATGGTTAAAGTAAACTCAACATTGACACACATGACTCTGGGAGGTAATTCAATATCAGAAAAAAATCAAAAGATAATACGTAATGCAATGCAACTAAGGCACCTGAAGTAAAAAAACGACTAAATTTTCTGGCTAGTTAACATTGATCTAATACATATATCAGACTACAACAAACTAGGATGGTTTTTGAATAACTTCTTAATGAAAAAGAACTAGTGAGCTGCGGTTTCAACTCTCTCTCGGACAAAAAAAAGTTCCTTTTTCCATTTCATTTTTGAGGGTATGGGTGTGGATGTGGGTAAAGGTTTAGAAAAAAAGGCACCCACACCCACACCCATACCTTCACATACACCCTGATCATACATAAAAATCATAGAAAATAGCATGTTCCGTATGTTCCTACTTGTTGATGAAATTAAAAAATTGGTCTTGGGAATATTAATAGTTTAATATGGTCTACAAACTTTGAAAGTTTCATACAATTGAGAAATACTTGTAGATTTTTTGGTTGAGGCCCATGGAAATACTCTGTTGTTGTTTTCTGATGACTGCAATATTTGCAACTGTTATTATTGCAGTAATTGCAGCCATTATTGGAATGATTAATGCATACTGAAAAGTTCCTAACTTAAAATGAAACTATCGACATTGTGTTTAATAATCAATCATTATTACATTATTATGAAAGAATTATTCTTAGTGAATTAATTCAAATGACTGTATAATTTAGCTTTCAAATCTCATCTCATTCAAAGGCTTTGAATTCATCAAAAATACATTCGTACATTGCTGTTTATTAACGAAACTTACTTTCATTAGTTCGCAAATAATCTGAATTTTATCTAAAAATTATTATCTTTAAAAACATCAATCTTTTGTTAACATATAAATGCGACATTTTATTAAAGAATCTGTTTCGATTATTTCTTTAGATATTAATACTGATTCATTGATTATTCATTAGTGACATAACTGAAGGCAACAACTATAACAACGAGCAGTACTAGAAATAACATCAAAATCATCCGCCAGCACTTCAAATCAGTAGAAAATAAAACGCCTTGTTTCAAGTAATCAATTATATCAATTTTTTCTTTATTTTATAGGCAACAACTTCGACTACATCAATAACTAGAAGTACTTCAACAATATTGACCAGTACTTCAAGGCAGTATATGAAGATCTAATTTTATTGCAAATAATTATTTATGTCTTATTTGATTTTGTAAAGTAACCACTTCTAGTAGTTCAAGCACTTCAACAATAACCAGAACAACAACCACGGCTTTCGATTCATGTAAGCCATAGTATGCTAATGAAGTATTTGTATAAAATGTAATATTCAACATGAAATTCAAATTTTCCTTGGAACCAAACAGGAGTAGTTGTATCTGCCACTACTAAAATAGAAAAAATTACTGATAATGGTAATGAACAGCTTGAAGGTACTATTTTTGATAATAAGGAGTTGATGTATGTTAGTGATCATCATACAAATGAATTACGAACATATCTAACAAGTTCTCTTATTAGTACAAATGTTGCTGAACAACGTGGTACTAATCCATATGCACTTAATTGTCTTGATTATTCATTTAGTTTTGATGTTGAAGATAATTTCAGTCTTTATATAGCTGATGAAAATAATGAGAGTTATGAAATGACCTCGAAATTCAACAACTGAAAATATTTTGATTAATACAACAACAAACAGTGAAATATCTGAAGTATAACTTGCACTTAACTCGTCAAATAAAGTTTATCATAGTGATGAAGCTTTAAACAAAGTTTATTTATGGACATTTGGTTCAACAAATCGAACTAAACTTTCGACTACTGTTAGCACTAGCTATTTTTTTCTTAATATACCAAAAGGAATTGCTTTTGTTCCATATAAAATTTGTATGTTATGGAAAAAATTGATAATTATCGAGTTATTATATATTGTATCAATTCAGCAGTGAATAATGTCGTAATTGGATTAAATAGGACTCCATTTTGGTGAAAAAAACCTGTAGAAATTGCTGTTGACTCAGATCTTAGTATGCTCTAGGCTTTAGATAGTCAAGCTATAGTTGAATATGCTTTATGACATATTAACTTTAATCTATTTTTTGTCGACCGATAATTACATATTTTTATATTTCGTTTCACATACGTTGTACTTTACATACTCATTTTTTTTCTTAGTCTCCCATTATCTAAATCAATAAATGATTGCATCATCAGAATATCACGTTCCTTGCATTGACGCAAAACACTGTTTTTGTTTAATCAAAGGGTGAAGATGTAAGTGTGAGGCTATGGCTATGATTAAAATTACATCTTGAAAGAAAAAACAAAATTGTAAAGTCTCAAAAAAAAAATCATGCAAAATTTCAAACGAATCTTGCTTCTCCGTCAAATTGTTATACAATCAAAGAAAACAAATATAACAACACTCAATATTGATAGCAATTAAACTATGAGTATGGGTACAGTCTCAGAATTTTTCGAGTGTTTTGCAGATGTGAATACAAGATCATTAACATGCAGGAATGTTTGTAGCTTTTTCTTCCTGGTTTGGATAAAGATGAAAAGTTTCTTATTAAAGTCAGAACAATAAAGCTATGCCGAACTATTGTACGTTAATTAGTTTCACAAAAATTTAGAAAATAATAATATTCAATGACAAAATTGACCAACAACTTTTTTATCGTACATTTAAACATTATAAAACTTTTATTTCATATTGCATATCAATAGGCAAGAGTATTATTTATTTAATAATAAATAAATATTTTAGTTTTATTGAACTTTTTTTCGTACGAGTAATTGATGTCTGGTTTATTTTTGTATAGGTCATATTTGAATGTAATATATGCTGACCTTCGATATCTCAAAAAACTTTTACTACATTTATTGTTGAACATAAATATATGTATATATCATAGAGTGTTAATTTAACAAATCTAGAAAACAGATCAAATCATTCATTTAAGAAAGCATTGCTTAATAAGACCATTAATATACGCAAGTTCTATGTTGACTGCTAATAATCCATATCAATCTTTTAATTATTAGTCATGTGTGATTCAATATATACTTTTTTTAAATGAAAATCGAAGACTCTCATATTAAAATATAGGGTGTCCGAAAAGTCATTAAAGTTAGAAACATTTGAATATCTCCATTATGGCTCGACCGAAGGGGCTCATTTTTTTATCAAGGATAGAGATGTGTTCACACTCCAAGTCCATATGGACAAAGTTATTGAGAACCTTTGTTAAGTATCACTATTGACCTTAATAAGAAAATTTTACTTTTTCACAGATAGGAAAAAAACAATATTCTTAGCAAAGCTTCTCTCTAACCTTGCCCGTATAGATTTGGAGTGTCAACATACCTCTATCTTTGGTAAATAAATCAGCTGGTTTTGCTAGAGCCATGATGGAGATATTCGATTCTCTTTTCGATAAAGTGACTTTTGCACTATCCTGTATATTTTCTTTTTTCTACCTATCAAAAAGTAAAATTTTCTTATTGAGGTCAATAGTGATACTTAACAAAGGTTCTCAATAACTTTGTCCATATGGACTTGGAGTGTGAACACATCTCTATCCTTGATAAAAAAAATGAGCCCCTTTGGTCGAGCCATAATGGAGATATTCAAATTTTTCTAACTTTAGTGACTTTTCGGACACCATACGTCTATGTTGTTTAGAAAATTTTTTATTCTAGCAATCCACTCCTCTTATCTATTTTAAAGATGTATCGAGAAATTCTATCTTTCGTAAGGAATATAAACAATCAATCTTGTGTTTGAGTTTCACATGTGAATAATTCTTGTTTCATTAATCTATATGTGAGGAAAATCAATCTAAAATAGATATGACAGTCTTCGATTTGACTTTACTTCTTTATAGCGATTATTTTATGAACAAGTTCTTGTGCCATGCAGATAGATAAAAATATTGACTCTTTCAGCTCTAATCTAATTCAATTCGGTTAATGCAGCAGTTAATAAATTAGAACGTAAGTAGCATATAACTCTCTACTCTTATGAGACAAAAGTCCAAGAATTCTAGCAGAGTCCCAATCACAAGCTACATCTATAGCAGAGTTTCTAGAAACTGTCGACATCAAGAAACTGCTTCAAGAAAACAGTGCACCGAAGATATGTATATATCCCAGAATGACACTTGTTATTTTTCTGTCATTCTGACGCATCAAGGGTAATTTGTATCATGTAGTGATTTTTTGAACTTGCCATTCAGTTACAGAAGAATCTTTTGTTTCTATATTCGTACTCACTCAAGTTGCTAACAAAGAATAAACTCAGTCTTATGAAGATCTTAAGCACATTCAAGGAAAACTTTGCATAGAGACTTTGTTAGGTGAAAAGTTCTTTACAAAAGGGTACTATTTATTTTTCAAAAAATCTTTTCGAACTTAGCGTTTTCATAAATGAAAACGAGCGCAATGAAAACCATAGTCTGTCTTTTTTTGTTATCATGTCTCTAACGCTAATCTTTCAATAATAACTCTGCGGAATAAACATCAAAGTGCTGAATTTTTTAGAGTAGCTAGAGTTACTCAAGATATATTTTTTACACGGAAATTAGCTAAAACAAAGTATAGAGTCCAAAAATATATATAGCTTTATTCAAGTGCAACACTTGATTGAAATGGCATAGAAAAAGGTTAGAATGTATGTAATTTATCATGTAATCTAGAACTTCCTTCCTTTTCAAATCAAACAATCCGTATTTTCTAACTCGAACCAAATGCCTTGAAGTAAATCCAATTTTTTTTGCTGAGTATGAATTGTAGTTTTCTTCTCTTATTGAACGATATATAGAGTAAAAGAGAAATTCTATGTGACTTGAAAAGGAAGAAACTATTACATAGTTCTGATAAAAGTACTGGAACACTCGAAAATAGTCAGCCAATACTTTACGTGTAAGTTGACTTGAACTTCAATCATGTATTTAGTATTCTGATTCATTAAGCTTTCATATTTTATTGAGCAAAGAAACTATATCGTTCTTTGACACAAACAAAATAGCATCAAACCGACAATGTCCAGCAACAAAACATTAATCAGCTATCAAATGGATTCTTCCTTGTAATATTGAATGCTGATTGCACCGTTTGGTTTTTCTATTTATTTTTTAAGAATTCGTCAAACGAAAATAAGATAAAATCTTTAGAATAATTTAAATTGGCTTACCAATCGTGCTGTGATGGCCGAGTGGTTAAGGCGTCTGACTTGAATCACGAAGTGCAAATGACAAGCTATCAGATGGGTTCTCCCGCGTAGGTTCGAATCCTACTCGCAGCGTTCATTTTTTTAACCACGTTAAATGTTTAGTCATATGAAAACGATGAAATTGAATATTAAGAATAATTTAAATTCACTTAGTGACCGCGCTGCGATGGCCGAGTGGTTAAGGCGTCTGACTAGAATCACGAAGTAAAAGTGAATAGTTATCAGATGGGTTCTCCCGCGTAGGTTCGAATCCTACTCGCAGCGTTT